TTCTTTGATCTCAATAATCCTTAGTCAATATGATTGCACTTTCACAAAATGTTTCTAATGGCAATGTGTTACTAAAAAAAAATCCAAGGTCAACTATGAAGTTTTTTTAGTCCAAGTATGCTCCTTGGATACTTCACTTGCACTAATGTAGTCTTACTCATATTGTCGAATCTACCACCATCTCCTACATGAAAATTTTCATGCTACAATTCAAAATTAACATCCATTTAAATTATGACTCAAAGTCAAATTCATGTCACTATAACTATTCTCAATCATGTTATCTACTGTCTGCATGCAACCATTCCTTGGTATCTTTAAATTCCTTAAAATGTTCTTAACAGTTTTATAGCAGTTCAATCATGCCAATTTCTGACACAATCTCACTATGCTTAAAAGATTTGAGATATCAGAATTAGCACAAGTCATCACATTCATGATTGACCCTATATACAAAGCATATAGGACTTGACTCATCCTATCATTTTCATGACTAGTACAAAGAAATTTTGAGATTCACTTAAATCCTTTCTATGAAGCATACGAATAATCCATTTGAAAATTTCCTTGTTCAAACCTTTCAATACATTATGCTTTGACTAAATCCTATTAAACATTTCAATCTGTCAATCTATATTCGAAGACCAAGTATCAATATCGCTTCTCTTATGTCTATCATAGCGAAACAATAGAGTCACCGTTTTCTATGAGTGGTATTGTCATCAACATGTAATACCAAGAAGAAAACGAGACTTCTACTAGCTTTGACATGTACTCAAGACTCATCTAGACTTCTAGAAAGACAACACTCTTTGATTCTCTCGTGGAAGAACAAATTACTTGCTATACGATGCTTGCTTAAATCTACAAAAAGATTTTTCAAGCTTACACACCTTGTTTGGATACTTTGTATGTTTAAATCCTTTCAGGATGTGTCACACACCCCTCGAAAGTTTCTTGTTAAGGTTGGCCGTTTAAACATCCACTTTACCATATTTTATATCAAAGAAGGAAAAATGGTAACAAATAACCAAATAGACCCTTTCTCAGCTACTAGTGATAATTTATCCTCATAATCAATTTCTCGATTCTGAGCGAAACTCTTTTCCACCATACTAGCCTTGAATGTGTGTATATTCCTATTCATTTTAGTCTTCACATTGAAGATCTAATCGTAACCCACTATCATAAAAATAATCTTTGGATCAACCAATTTCAGAAATAGTTATCCTTCTTGGACTAAATTTTGTTATCCTTAGACTATTCTAATAGTAGCCATAGGACCTACAATTGCTTCCTAGTAGCTATTAGGCTTATCCAAACTGATTAATGTTTTATTACTAATCAATGTAGCTCCTTCCACAATTATATGAAATACATAAAAATTAGGAGGTGCTCTAACTCTACTAGATTTTTCGAAGAGGTAAGGCAAAGCCATTTTACTCAATTGGTATATGAATCTCAGACTAAGAGATAGTGCCAACTGCTGCTTCATTATTGGTCATGTCTTGAATTTCTTCAAGATCAATATTATTCCAAACGACTTCTTGATATGTATATGTTCTTTCTCTGAACATTCCTTTCGAGCAATAAGCATCGCATATATCAAATGTCATTGGTGAATACTCGACAATGTAACATTTCTTAAATCTCGATTCAAGATGGTCATTGGTTTCTCGTCAAACGAATGTCCTCACAACACTAGACCTAAATGCGATGGAACTTTCCAACTCGACATTTCTTGAGGTGTCTTCAAACCTACTTAGTCAGTTACAAGGTTCTAAAAATTCTGAACTATTTCAAGTCTATATTCCCCAAAAATGTGAATGGCAGCGAAGCACGACTCATCATAGAACAAACCATATAAAATTTAATTCTCCTTTTCAGCAGCACCGCTACTATGATGTTCTTAAAGGATCCAATTGGGAAACTATTCCACAATGTATATGATGATCTTTAAACTTGACACTAATAAATTCTCCTTTCCTTTCATATTGACGACCTTTATCTTGATGCCCAATTGATTACCTACTTTGTTTTGATACTCTTTAAAAATTTTCAAAGTGCCAGAATTATGCTTAATCATATATGCTTAATCATATAAACATAGCCATGTCTACAAAAACTATCAATAAATATGACATAGTAGTATATGTCGTCCCTTGTGGTGGATCTGATGGGTCCACACATATTAGTGTATATAAGATCCAATAATCCTTTATCTCCATTACATGTCCATGTGAATGGTGCCGAATTCATCTTTCCAACATACAAGATTCGTATACATCATCCATCTCAAGGTCGAACGATTCCATGTCCGGTCCAATTTGAGCTTGGTGTTGGTGATACGATTCTTACTTATGTGGCCAAGGTGATTATTCTACAAATACGATCGTATCTAAACTATTAAAGGAATCAATACTCAAGTAATCACTACTATTATTAGAAACACACACTACAACTTCATGAATGCCAACTGTAGGAATATGTTTTAAACATCAAACAACCATCTTTATAAACTAGAATTGTCACATTTCCATTATCAAATAAAAATTGAAATTCATGTTTATACAATGCATAAAATGAAATAATGTTTCTAGACTTCTCCAAAGAGTAATAGAAAATAACTAAATCTATCCTAACTCCATTACTAAGCACGAGCTTGAAATCCTTAATCATCAAGACACATATATACTTGTCCATTCTAATGATTAGGTTTAGCTCTTGATGCTTAAATTCCTTCTATCCTTTAGATCCTACAATTCCATCTAAGTTAGATTATACATCACACATCAAGGAACCACGAATTGGAGGTATTTGGAGTTTGAATAATCGAGTACTTTATGTAGAGTCAAACATTTGACTTTACCATATCTAAGTACTTAGGGAAACTTCATTTCTTATGAACATGTTGTTCGCTAAATTAACGATTTCATCTATTGTTTTTAATGATTAGTATATTTACCAAAGGGTCTTTGGCCTAGCGATAAGGAGTGACTCTCTTGTTTAAGAGACCACGGGTTCAAGTCTCGCTTGAGACATATGTAGTTATAGTTAGAAGTAGATTAGTTTGATGTTTAAAAAAATATTATATTTAATTATTTTATATAAACGTCTTTAAAATTAATATATACCATGATAGTGATCTTTATATTCGATTTGTATATGATTAAAACTAAATAAAATTTTGATTTAGAATTATTTTTAACTATTTTATGGTTAATATCAGTTTATTTCAACAGCCTGCAAAAACGTTAAAAAACAAACAAACTTTTTATTGTCGTTTGTAGACGTTTGGTCCATCTCTTCAACTAGAGAGTTGCGTTGCAGATGTGGTACGTAAACTACATACGTTTTAGCTTCGAAAAAACAAACAACTAAGATATTTTTTGGTAACTAACTATTTTAAATTTACTTTATTTTACCATTGTTTATTTTCTTCTTTTTGGTAACTAAGTATTTAAAATTTACTTTATTTTACCATTGTTTATTTTCTTCGAAGATTGTCATGAGGAATACAATCATATATAACTGTAAATAATAGACTCCTTGTGGAAAAATATGGTATTTTCCTTTATTAAACACCCGAAAACAAAATAGCAAGAGAATATAGTCATTTAAAATGCATATTTTCCTTTATTTACCAAGTCAAATTTGTGTTGTTTGTTTATTTTTGACTTGCAAATATAGTCTTCTTGTCCTTGACGATGTTTCCTTCTATATTAGGTCCTTCTCTTTTAACTCGCTGAAATTAATTATTCAGTTATGTTTGTTAAAATGTCAATTATGCCCTTGCTAGATTTCACTATTAATTTTTCTTTTTAATTTTATCATTTAAAACTCTTATTATAGTACTATTAAAAAAAAAAAAACCAGCCCTTCACCTCCTTTTCACCTTCCCGGACGACTACAACCCATCCCACGCACACCGGAAGAACCTCTCTACCATCAGTTCCCTTCCAACCGCCAAACCTTAACATGGCATCACCCACCATCAATCAATTTCATCGATCTTTCTTTAAGTGTCTTTGCAATTCTCCGTTTTTCTTTCAATTACACTCTTTTACTCTGTTTTTTAATCCGATTAAGTTGCAATTGATTTCCGTTTTCATCTTGCTGTAATTTATGATCTTTTGATGGTGTTAATGTCGACTCATTCATTTTGGGATTAAAAATCTTTGGGGGTGTTTGGGTTAGCTTTTTTGAGGCCAAAAATCCTTTTTGGAAAAGTTGCAAAAAGTCAGGTTTTCCTGACTTTTCCAAAAAGTTGATTTTCCTTCTATCCAAAATCCAAAAGTAGCTTTTAAAAGTCTTTTGCCAAACATCTTTTACGATCTTTTCCTAAAAGGACTTTTGACCTCTCAAAAGCTAAGCCAAACACCCCCTTAATATTACTTCAGCTCTCGAGGCCAGTTGAGGTAAGTGGGTCATAAGTAACAGAAATAAAATTAAGCAGTCGCATTGCTTTTTTTTTTCTTTAATTCCATGGAATTTCGAGAATCGCAAAAGGCATTGGATCTGGGCTTAGAGACCTATCTCTTTCAAATTTCAATATCTCCAGTCCAGGTACTCTGTTACTTCAGCTACAAACAGTGTGGTCAATGAAGATGAATAGGGAGCGTGGTGTTTTGATGGATATGGGTCCATCTAACTAACAATAATAGTGATATAAATAATTAAAATTTAACTGAAAATATAAAAGGGGGTAAGATGGCAATTTAACATCGACTTAATATAAATAAATTAACACTAGCTACAATGACACTTTATTAAAAGGACTATAATACATTCCTTTATGGAAAAATATGACACTAACTTCTAACATAAAAGACACTCCTTGTGTAATAATATACACTAACCTCTAACATAAAAGACACTCCTTGTGTAAAAATATTGTGTTGCCCAAATTTCCTTTTAAATATGTGAAAAAAAAAAACAAGAGAAAAAGGTTGCTCAAGTATATATTTGAACATGCAAACCATCCTTTTTTGTATAGCAACATGGCAAACCAAATAATTTCTTCATCAAACTTGTTATATTTCTCCCTTGCTCTACTAATCATCACACTCTCCCCCATACCAAATTCCACTTCTGCTTCTTTGAAGGAAGCCAATGGTCTTCTTAAATGGAAAGCAAGCCTTGAAATCCGAAGCAACTCCTTTCTCTCTTCATGGCTTCCCCTCCATATGAATTCCAATGCATCATTTCCAAGCAGTTCTTGGTTTGGAGTAGTTTGCAATGCTGATGGGAGCATTCAGAGGCTAAACCTCAGTTCATCTAGCTTAAAGGGTACGCTTCGTCAATTTTCATTCTCATTGCTACACGGTCTTACTCATTTTGATCTCAGTGACAACAACTTCTCTGGCCCCATCCCACCAGAAATCAGACTCCTGACCAAACTTGTATATCTTAATTTTTCATTGAATAAGTTTTCTGGAGTAATCCCACCTGAAATAGGAAACCTCTACTCAAACAATATATCTGGTTCAATTCCATCATCATTGGGTAATTTAAAATATTTGAAAGTCCTTTATTTGCACCACAATCAACTCTCTGGTCCCATTCCTTCATCATTGGGTAATTTGACATCTTTGAATGTCCTTTATTTGCACCAGAATCAACTCTCTGGTCCCATTCCTATTGAACTTGGGAATCTGAAGTATCTCACTGATCTTGTGGTGAGCTTCAATCAACTTAGTGGTTCTATTCCTTCATCATTGAGTAATTTGACATCTTTAAATGTCCTTTATTTGCATGACAATCAACTCTCTGGTCTCATTCCTATTGAACTTGGGAGTTTGCAGTCTCTCGTTGATCTTCAGTTGACCTACAATCAAATTAGTGGTTCTATTCCTTCATCATTGGGTGATTTGACATCTTTGAATTTCCTTTATTTGCACCACAATCAAGTCTCTGGTCTCATTTCTATTGAACTTGGGAATTTGAAGTCTCTCATTCATCTTCAGGTTAGAGAGAATCAGCTTAGTGGTTCCATTCCTTCATCATTGGGTGATCTGACATCTTTAAATGTCCTTTATTTGGACAAAAATCAACTATCTGGTCCCATTCCTATTGAACTTGAGAATTTGAAGTCTCTCACCGATCTTCAGTTGAGCAACAATCAACTTAGTGGTTCTATTCCTTCATCATTGGGTGATTTGACATCTCTGAATGTCCTTCATTTGTACGAAAATCAACTCTCTGGTCCAATTCCTATTGAATTTGGGAATTTTAAATCTCTCACTTATCTTGTGGTGTACTACAATCAACTTAGTGGTTCTATTCCTTCATCATTGGGTAATTTGACATCTCTAAATATCATTTATTTGTGGAAAAATCAACTCTCTGGTCCCATTCCTATTGAACTTGGGAATTTGAAGTCTCTCACTAAGCTTGGTTTGAGTAACAACCAACTTAGTGGTTCTATTCCTTCATTATTGGGTGATTTGACATCTTTTAATGTCCTTCATTTGTACCAAAATCAACTCTCTGGTCCAATTCCTATTGAATTTGGGAGTTTGAAATCTCTCACTAATCTTCAGTTGAGCAACAATCAACTCAGTGGTTCTATTCCTTCATCATTGGGTGATTTGACATCTCTAAATGTCCTTTATTTGTGGAAAAATCAACTCTATGGCCCCATCCCACCAGAAATCCGACTCCTCTCCAAACTTGTCTATCTTGATTTTTCATAAAATTGGTTTTCTGGAGTAATCCCACCTGAAATTGGGATGCTAGCCAGTCTTGAGATCCTTTGGCTGCCTTTTAATAACCTGACCGGTTCAATACCACAAGAGATCGGTCTATTAACATCTCTCTATGCTATAGATTTGGCCTATAATCTTCTTCAAGGAGAATAACCTCCAACAATGGGAAATTTGACAAACTTGGCTTATCTATTTCTCCATAATAATAATTTATGTGGTCCTATACCACCTAATCTTGGGAATTTGAAGTCTCTCACTTATCTTGTGGTGATGAACAATCACTTTAGTGGTTCTATTCCTTCATCACTTGCCAATCTCAGCAACCTACAATATATGTACCTCAATGAGAATAAATTGTCAGGTCAAATTCCTACTGACATTGGGGATTTGAAGTCTCTCACTGATCTTCAGATGAGCGAAAATCAACTTGGTGGTTTTATTTCTTCATCACTAGCAAATCTGAGCAACCTACAGAATATGTTCCTCAGTGAGAATAAATTCTCTGGTCACATTCCTAGTGATTTCGGGAATTTGAAGTCTCTACATGGTATTGAGGCAACTCATAATCAACTTAGTGGTTTTATTCCTTCATCACTAGCAAACCTGAGCAATCTACATTATCTTTACCTTGGTGATAACATCTTATCTGGTTCGATTCCACAAGGATTGGGAAGTCTAGAATTGTTTCACCTAC